CTAAATACTTATTTTCCACCATTATTTGCAAAAAAATTCTTTACATTTTGTCTCTCATAGTTGAGGTCTACCTATGATGTCAATTACAGGCCTCTCTCATCTTTTTAAGTGGGAGAACTTGCACAATTGGTGACTGACTAAATACTTATTTTCCCCACTGTATATGTAGTATAAATCTGTATCCAAAAATTACCAGACAACTAGAATAACTACCCAATCTGCCACTCTTATTGATAATATATTTACAAATGACATTACAAGCAACATAATAAGTGGACTGATTATCAGTGACATCAGTGACCATTTGCCTGTATTTATAATATACGAACAAGATTTTAAAATTAATCAACCTAACAAAAGAACACAATACAGGGTGAGAACAGAAAACTTGTTAAAYACATTTAAAAATGATCTACTAGCACACAATTGGGATAATATTTATAACTCTAATACTATAAATGTGGCTTATGATGAATTTTTAAGAATATTTAAGAAGTTWTWTGATATAAACTGTCCTATAATAAAATTTAACAATAAATCTAAATATAATGGCCATCCCTGGATTACTAGAGGTTTATAAAATGCATGTACAAAGAAAAATACACCATATAGAGAGTTTTTAAGAATAAGAACTGAAGAGTCAGAAAATAAATATAAGAAATATAAAAATAAATTAACTAGTATCATAAGAACAGCAAGAAAAGAATACTATAATAAAATATTGGAAAATAATAAAAAAAATGTTAAAGGAATATGGAACATATTAAACACTGTAATAAAAATGGGCATAAACAAGTCGATTACCCAAAATATTTTTCAATTAATAATAAAGATAATTATTGGGGGGGTGGGAGCCTGTGCAGGCACCCTGTTCAAAAATCCTACCTAAAAGCTTGTGGTGAGGAATTATAGTCACACTGTGATAAATGGCAAACTGCTTGTATCACTACTTACAACGGTGAAGAGTAACGCTCCCAGTCCAGCGTACACGATCTGCAGGACCATGCTCTGGAAGATGATGCAGAGGATGCTGAAGAGGATCAGGACGATCAAGCAAACAAAGAGCACGCCGTAACAAGAAGTGAAGTCGTATTTGGTCTGTTGGAGGAGAGACGAGAGCGTTAACGACACAGTGCGACTGTCGTACAGGAAATATATCCAGGCAAGAAGCCGGGGTTCAACACAAACCTGCATGGAGAAGATTATCACTGTGAAACACACAACTGCAGTGATCCCCACTGCCATGATCACAGACTCTGTGTCGTGGAAGCTGGCGATCACGCCCACCATGTAGGACATGCTGAGAGTCAGGATGGACTGAAAGAAGAGAGGAGAGAATATCAGGACCACAACTTAATCTAAGTTTTTAAAACAGCGACCACCAAGTTCCACACGTAACACCATCTGCATTTATCTCCACAGCTCAGATTTTAAAACCTGGGCGTGTAAAACAGTTCATTCGTCCAGATGAAATGACTGAATCCCCCCCTCGGTCTTACCAGGGCCACCAGGTTCCAGGGGTGTTGGCGCCGAACATTTCCGCAGCAGCTGATCACACAAACCGACACCAGAAACACACCGTAGGCTAAAAGATAGGTCCAGAGGTTCCTTATGACGTAGCCCTTGATTTCACCCACAAAGGTGAAAACAGCCACGAACCCAAACGTCACCAACAGCTGAGCGGTTAACACCAAGTAAACCTGGAAGAAGRAAATAAAAGAAAACATTAAGAAGACTATTTAGGTAACATGCCTGATAACTTGCATGGGAGTTGTTTTTGGATCAACTACAGAAGCTGGTGAAGTCAGAGTATTATGAAATGTATCTATACTCCTGACAGAGGTGAAGATGGGAGCTTTTATATCAATCTGTGCTCAACCTCACAAACCTAATAAGTCATTAAAATGATCCACAATTAGTTGGAACACATAAACATTTATTTGATACACATATATTTTAACAGTTAAATAAAGACTGTAAAAATAGTGTAGGCTGTTTAGTTTTTTATCAATTTTAAAAATATATTTTAACACGGACTGAGCCATTTTAATTACACACAAAGCATTCTGGGTAAATGATGACGTGGATAGGTCCTCGGTGCGAAACTGCTAGCGAGCTATATCCACCCTGAAGGTTAATCTTGGACAATATCTGATGATCGACTCTTTTAAATGAAACCAGAGAGCGTTGACAGAGAGGAGAAGGTAGAAATGACTCAGCCTGGAACGGAAAATATGGATGGAGGACAACAGAGCTGCTTCATGGAAGAAGAACCTCAGCTTAGCCTGTTAGCTTTAGCTCCGACGCTATATATCCTTGTATGTATTAGCTCGGCGCTAGCGCAACAAACTAAAAAGCTAAACTGAGGTCCTCCATCTATATTTTCAGTTGTAGGCTAAATCCTTTCTACCTTCTCCTCTCTGGTTTCATTAAAAAGAGTCAATCGTCAGATATTGTCCAAGATTAACCTTCAGGGTGGATTTTTAAAAATTTAGTTTAAAAATTATAAAAACTAAACAGCCTACAGTATTTTTAGTCTTTTACATTTAAAATAAATGTTTATCAGATAAAGTCTAATGTTACAACTAATCGTGGATCCCTTTAACATCTTAATAACTCATCTCTTCGTTCTGGACACAACGAGCTACAAAGTGATTTTTAAAAGGTGAAGATTTGCACCGAAAAGATTCACCAGTAACACTTTCTGTACTTTCAATACTTATTTTATCACCTGTTTACCCAGAATCCTACCTTTCGTATGAAGGCTCTTCTTATGCTCTTGTTATCCAATCCAAAGTCAAAGTCGTCATTGTCATGAAAAGGTGGAGGAGCCTCCTCATTGTGGAAAACATCACCTGAAGTAAAAACAAGCAGACAGATCAAAACCCATGTATTTACACAAACCAACAGTTTTGTTTTGTTCATTTTAGAGAAGGTGAAATTCTATATTCTGTCCTCTACATCCTCCAAGTTCTCTTCCACCTGTTCCCCCACCTTAATCCTTTGCAAGAGATACGCTGGCTTATAAACCATTTTTCCTTCTGGATGTTTCTAAAGTGATGTTGGGACTCCCTGAGGAGGTGGTGGATTTGTTGAGAAGTGTTACACCAACGTCACACCTGCCACTACAAAATGAAGTTCACAATTAAGCAAAACTTCTATTTGTTTATATTTTGGTGCCTCTGTATAGCTATGAAAATAAAGKGTTTTCTGTAGGCTTTTATCCAGTTTATCAGCACTAATAACAGGGTTCATGCAGGTTTCAGTAAGTTAAATTTAAGACCTTTTAAGACCATTAGCAATGACACTTAAAACCAAAMCGACACATTAACAAAAACATTCAAATGGTCCCAGAAATTTTAACATAGAAACCTTTTATTGCTATCAATTTAGCCATTAAAGAATGTTTAATTTTAATACAAGAACACTGAATTATTTTAATGAAACGGTCATACAGTGGTTTGCAAAAGTATTCATACCCCCTGAACTTTTCCATATTTTGTCACATTACAACCACAAACATAAATATATTTCACTGGAATTTAATGTGAAAGACCAACACAAAGTGGAATACAATTGTGAAGTGGAAGCAAAATTTTACA